GCCCCTGGACCTGTGTGGAGGCGGTGTGAGAGCGGGAATAAAGAATTGCTGTTTGAACCTACAAAGCTGTGAGTGCCTCGTGATTCTGGTGCCAAGCCGAGACATTAGCCTTGGCAGGTACCTTTACTGGAGAAACTCAACATAGCCTCTAGCACTTGATGTAGAGCTATGCACTTGGCTAGTTCTTTTTTCTTCACACCAATTTGTAAATCAAACCCAGTTGTTGACAGCCTGGCTGGGTGATCAGGGACTTGAAAGGAAGGATGTGGAAGGAATTGGCACAAGCTAAAGACAGTTTTTGTCCCACATGCCTGCTCACCAAAGGGCATTCACTACAAAATTCTCAATAATCAAGTGGAAAAAATGACACACCCCCTGCAAGTCACCTTCTTTTCCCAGGCATCCCATTAATTGCTCAGTGGACCTGGGAACAAAGTGGCCATGGTGACGGGGATGGAGGTGACTCAGGGGTCCCACAATATGGGCCTCCCCACTGAACTTGGAACTGCTCTCATTGAGTGCCTCATCAGCCAACAGAAGATTCCAACACTGAGGCCCACATGGAGCCTTTCCCCCGGGAAACCAGCCAGTCAGCTGATGGCAAATTGATTTTATTGGACCTTTTCTACCATTGAGAGAACAGAGATTTGTCCTCACTAGAGCAGATGCATTCTCTGAAGGTAAACAGCCTACGATGCTTCTACCAGCACCATCAGTGGACTCTGAACTGTCCCATTCACCATCCTGGTTCTCTCCTAGAATCGTGTTTAATCAAGGAAAAAAACTCACAGCAAAGAAAGCGTGGCAATAGCTCATGTCCATGGAATCTCACCACAGTCCCCCTCGCCCAGAAGCCAGTGGTGGCTGGCTTACTGAAAGCGCTGTCACAGTGTCAACGGTGAGATAGCACCTGGGAAGAATGGGGTCTGTCTTACGGCTGCAGCATCTGCTCCGAATCAGTGTTCGCTTATGGTGCTGAAAATATTTTTATTACAGTCGGAATATATTTTTCTGGGAATAAAAGGGTGAAAGACAGAGAAGCTCCTCTCAGTATTATACCTAATAAAACATTAGCAGATTTTTTCCTTCCCATTCAGCAACCTTACACTCCTCTGGTTGGGAGGTCATAGTTCCCAGGGGAGAACTGAAGGATACAACAATGGTTCTGTGGATATGGAAGCTGAGACCATCACTTGGGAATCGAACCCAGAGCCTCACTCATGCTAGGCAAGGGCTAGACTACCGAGCCACATTCCCAACCCTACTTCTGGCTCTTTTGAGTCTCTTTTTTGCCTTTTTAAGTAGTTAACTACCTTTTACTAGTTGCTGAGTCTTTGTGTTAAATTCTCCTATTCAAATTACCATTATGATATCTGTCCCTGATTGAACCTTGACTGATCCACCATCTCAAGGACAGGGTCCTCAGTGTTGCCTCAGCCTGGAACAATCTTTATCTAGACAGGTAGATGAAGATTCATGCTCGCAGCTTCTGACTGACTGCTATGTCTGTCCAGCTGTCCTTCCTGTATAGTTAAACTGATACTCTGAGGCAGCCTCCATCTCGTCTTTGAAATAAGACGGTACAGTCCTACAATCTGGGAATCGTTGCCTATAATTAGTATAAGCCAAAGGACAGCAGACAGGAAAGGTTTACTTGTGATTATAAGAGCAGGACTTGAGTTTTGAATCTCAATGAACCTGTTATCCCCACTACCCACACGTCCTAGAAATGTGTCAGGAGTCTCTGAGAGAACATTATTGTATTCTGTGTGCCCCCAAAAGTATTCATTGAGCCCAGTCTATATGCCAAAAACTGTAAGCACTGGGTATTCATCAACACTGGACTATATTTCCCCTAAAATGCCCTTCAGATCTGAGCGGTAACCCCTCTTCCTCCTAACTCCAGAGTGCATTTGGGTCCTACAGGATGCTGGCCTTCCTGCAAACCTGACTGAGTTTCAAAAGGGGGCTTATAGGGTACTGCACATGGTTATGCAGGTGACTTGGTGCATGAAGAGGCCCTTCAAAGAATGAGCATTAAAGGTGGCATCATGAGGTTCCAACTGCTGAGCCTTGTGCCTGATGAGGTTGGTGAATCTAGCAGATAACTTGTTTGTATGGTGCTGGGACCTCAGGTCCCCCTTGCTGACCCCAAATGCAGAGCAGGCTGGTTCTATTCGGGATGGTCAACATTGCCCTGGGACTGGCCTACACAGGAGCATTCTAAGCCGGGGAAGGGCTGGAGCAGCAGTGGTCTCAGTCTCTGGCACTCACTGCTAAGACTTGCTCAGGCCTCCTACAGTGTGGCCAGGTAAGCTGCCAGAGAAGGCGAAGGAGAATTGTTGGGATGAAAGAAAAGCCTCTCCACAGATGCTTCATGCCCAGACCAAGTTTCCCTTGGCTCCTGGACCTTGTGGGGGTCCCGGAGTCAATGTGTTAGTTTTCTATTGCTGTACAAGAAGTTTCCACAGACTTAGAAGCTTAAAACAACATGCATATATCATGTCAAGTTTTCATGGGTCAGGAACCCAAGCATGGATCCTCTGCCTATGGTCTCACTAAGTTAAACCAAGTCCCAAGTGGGTATGTTCTCATCCAGAGGACAATGCACTTCAAAGAATTCAAAGTTTTTGTCAGAAGCCTGTTCCTTTTCAGTTGTGTGACCAAGGTCCCCATTTCCCTACTGGCTGTCAGTGGTGCTGGTGGGCAGAGCTCTTAGCCTACAGGGCCTGCCGTTCCATGCCCTTTGACTCCCTCCATAGGCCCTCAGAACCCAGCAGATTATTTTGTCAGTCATCAAAGGAGAAACTGCTACCTAATAATCACAGGAGTGACATCCTTCATCACATTCTTTGGGTTAAAAGCAAGTCACAATCCCTGCCTGCACAGGAGGCATCTTGGGGACCATCTCGGGGTTGGCATGCCACAGTCAGCCTTCAGGACCATGACCGCACCAGAGGAGAATTCCAACCACCTTCAACTAGGTGACATTGGAACACCACATGTGTCACTTGCGTAACCAGCAAGGCCAGTTCTTGGAACTGCTCCACATCCCAGCCTCTGGGGAACCCAAGTCTCAGGCAAAGAAAGGTCATCAAATTTTGGGGTGATTCACTTATCACAGGATGAGGTGACTAACCACACCTACACTGCAGAGTCCTCACTCTGGTCCCCATCTTTGCCCTCCCCCAAATAAGAAGAGCTTTAGCTGAATCTGGTCAAACCCCCTGTGCTTGCAAACAGGAGCCCCTGTAGATGGTTAATAGCACCTTGTGGGCTAAGCTGGGGTGTCTCCAGATAGACGAGCCAGGTCTGGGAGGAAGGCACAATCGTGGTACCCTGATACCACCTTGGCCACACCTGTCCTCCCTCCCACAGAAATCAACCAAACTTATTAAGTTCTTGCTGGAGACCAGTGTAAGGTGGCTGGACTGAGCCCTCACTAGGAGCTTGGGGGGGCCTCAGGATGGACTCACCCTGCAAGTCCAGCTAAGAATTTTCCTTTAGAGAAGAGCCAATACTAGAGAGGCCAGGGTACAAATAAATCATGCTAAAGCCATTAGTTCTAAAACTATGAAAACTCTTCCTGATTTGAAGATGAAGAATGAAGTCCAAAGCTCACTGACTGGCCTTGGGCAAAGACCAGTTTAGACAGCAAACACTAAAGATCTCAGAGATGTTATCAATTGCATACCACCCACCCACCCATCGTTTGACAGCCTCAGCCTGGATGTAGAGAGAGGAAATAAGAACAGCAAATATTTATTACTTAAAAGAGAAAAACCAAGAAGTTTAACAAGAAGGATCCCTGCCCCAAATGCAGAATTTAAAAGAACACAAACTTTATAGTAAGGGAGAAATGGCTTTACATGAGAAGGGTGCTGTTTCTCTTAAACATCAATCCGCCCAAAACCTGAACATGGAAAGTCCCCTCAGCATGTAATGGTAAATAGTGTACATAAAGAAACTTAAGCAGAAGACAATGATCATGAAGGACAAGGTAATGAGAGTGTAGATGGACATCCGCTTCTCCATCGTCGCCCTGAACAGACAGAAATAGGGGCCAGGGCAACCATCTGTGCCACAGCGAATGGTGGTTCTTGTCACCATGGGCAGTTGTCGATACATGAGAATAAATAAAAAAAAACACTGGAAGCCCGTCTGCAGGATGAAATGAAGGAGGTACGACAGCAAAAGGATCTTCTCCCGGTGGAAGTTGAGGGTGGATTTCTTTGGACGAGTGACATGCTCCTGGATTCCCACCATGGATCCCTCCTCTACTCCCACTGCCGCTGCCTCCACAGACTTCAGTTTTAACTGCTTGTGCCGCATCTGAGCCATAACGAATTCCATAAGGAAGAAGAAGATTAGGAAGATGAAGTAAAACAAGTACCAAGTCCCTGTGACAGGACTGGTATAACTGTTTTCAAAACACTCCATCAAGCATGGATAGGTGATGTTGCCATGGCACCAGAAATCTTCATAGACATGGACCCAAGGCATGTGGACCACATACACCACCACACCATACATGGCGATCAGGCCAAACCAGAGCTGCCGCCCAATGTAGTAACCAGATTTGTCGCCGGCCACAGAGTGTAGTACAGGAATCAGTCCAGCCACCACTGCTGCAGCCATGTCCTCAGACCCTCAGGGCACCGATGGAATCTGAGACCAGAACTCTGACAGCACCCTAGGGAGGAACGCAAAGCAAGAAGAAGACAGGGTCAGAAGGTGAGAACAGTTGCCAGGGATTCTAAGCCCTGCTCAAGTTTTAGATCCCTCCCCAGCTCTCAGGTTCAAGTCTACAACTACCCTGGACAAGCAGCAGGTGCAGGCCCATGATGTGGTTCTTCCTGCCTCTCTGTGGCAGCCTACAGTAAAGTCCATCCACCTCTGGCCTTCACACAGCCCAACTTGTTAAAAATCACAAGTGCAGACCTCACCTCTTCTTATGAGACAAGCTTCAGAGTCTGGAATTAAACTTTCTTCACATTTGCAAATCCACATTAGCCTGCCCAGAGAATTGCATTTAGTAAGAACCTAATTATATGTGACAAATGAAGGAGGAAAGGAACAAACAAACAAATTTCAAAATTCTCCCTGTGTCTGGCTGTTCTAGGTGTCCTCTGGCAGTCTACACTTCACATCTTTACCAGGAAATTTCCTAATGGTAAAGAGGAAAGAGGTGGAACACCCCCTCATCTTTCTTGATGGTGCACACGACTTCTGACCGCAGCTATTCAGAGTGGACTTATGATCATTCTTCATCTACAGTAATAACAACGTTGGCCATTATGCACTGCCTGGATACAATATGGCAAGCCTGTGCTGGTGGATTAGATAAACCATCTCTACAGAAGGGGAAGAAGCCTTTGCAATGTTCTCATTAGCTTAACTTGGGTAACTGTCCTCTCTTACATATGTCATTACATATGACAGTAACCAATCATTTAGTTTGAGATCTGAAGTACTTAGTGAATATTTTGGGTTTTTTATTGTGATAAAATATGCAAAATGTATAATCTATAATTTGAATCATTTTTAACAGTTCTTTTTTTTAAATTTGTTCTTTTTTACATATACAGGACAATAGAGTGTATTTTGACATATTATACATACATGGAGTATAACTTATTCTAATTAGGATCCCATTCTTGAGCTTGTCCATGATATGGAGTTTCACTGGTCACATATTCATATATGAATATAGGAAAGTGATGTCCAATTCATTCTACTGTCCTATTCATTCCTATTCCCATATCCCCTCGCTTCCCTTCATTCTCCTTAGTTTAATCCACTGAATTTCTACTCTTTCCTCCCCCACATATTGTGTGTTAGCATCCACATATCAGAGAGAATATTTGGCCTTTGGTTTTTTGGCTTATTTCACTTAGCATGATAGTCTCCAGTTCCATCTATTTACTGGAAAATGCCATAATTTCACTTATTCTTTATGGTTGAGTAATATTCCATTGTGTATATATGCCACATTTTCTTTATCCATTCGTTTGTTGAAGGACACCATAGCTTAGCTGTTGTGAATTGAGCTGCTATAAACATTGAAGTGAAGTGGCTACATCACTGTAGTGTGCTGATTTTAAGTCCTTTGGATATATGCTGAGGAGGGGGATAACTGGATCAAATAGTGGTTCCATTCCAAGTTTTCTGAGGAATTTCCATACTGCTTTCCAATTTGCAAGTGTACAATTCTGTGGCATTGAATACATAACCAACACCACTATCCATCTCCAGAACTTTTTCATCTTCTCAGATGGAAATTCTGTCCCCATTAAATGCCAACTCTCCATTCCCCCTCTTCCTCAGACCTTTGCAACCACCCTTCTATTTCTAGTAGTCAATTTGACTATTCTGGTATCTCATTCAGGTGAAATTATATATTATTTGTTCTTTTGTGACTAGCTAATTTTACTCAGCAGAATATCTTCAAGATTCATTCATGTTAGAGCATATGTCAATTTCCTTTCTTTTAAGAGCTGAATAGTATTCAACTGTACATACAGACCACATTCTATTTATCTATTCATCTGTTGATGAATATATGGGCTTTTTCCAGCTTTTGGCTATTATCAATACAGCTTCTATGAACATGGGTGTGCAAATATCTGTTCAAGTCTGCTTGTTTGGGGTCTATAACTAGAAGTGAAGCTGCTGGATAACAGAGTAAATCCATGCTTAATTTCTTGAGGAACTGTTATACCTTTTACCATAGTAGCTACACATTCCTACCAGCCATGCGCAGGGCTCCAATTTCTCCTTGCCAACATTTGATATTTCCTGGTTGGGTTGTGGATTTTTTTAAAAAATGTTTTTTGTTTTATTGAAAAGATGTCACAATTAGTGCTAAGAGTCTCTTTAAAGGCAATTCTCTCAGCAATATTTTTTTGGGGAGCTGATACTAGGCATTGAACCTGGGACACTACCAGCCTCCCTTCTTTAGATAGGATCTCACTAATTTGCTAAGCCTGACCTTGAATTTGCTATGCTCCTGCCTCAGACTCCCAAGTAGCTAAGATTACAGGTGTATATCTCTGCACCTGGCCCTCGCAATGTGTTTAAATTACTCTCTAATTTATCAGATCACATTCAAACAGACCATACACAGAAACCATGAGAAGCAGCAACCAGAGCAAGCTGGTGGGTGCAGGACTACCAGATGAGCCCGCCAAGAAGGGTGTTGCTCAAACAAAAGTGCCAAAGAAATACAGGGACAGGGGGGAAAACAAAATATTTATTGAGAATTTATTATGTGCCAGGCACTTTTCTACAAACTGATACTTATGAGCTCATTATCACATTAGTCAATATTAATTATTCTTATTTTATAGATAAGAAAAATCAAAATTTAGAATGGTTAAGTAACTCCCCCACAATTATACAGTTGACTGAACACAGGTGCCAAGATTTGTCTTAACTCAGCAATCAGAATGTGGGACCTTTCCACAAGGGAAAAGAGGAACCACTGCACTGGATCTTTCCACCCTCACCTGCCAGCTCTCGTGGGTGTTTCAACGATTTTTGTTTTTCTTCTTTAACAACAGTTTCGTGGCTGAAAACGCCACTTGGGTCAAAGTTCAGAGTCAAAGTCTCAGTACCACAAGTCAAATGATAAGTGCAAGCCCCGGATCTCGCGCCGCAGCCCAATTTCTCTAGGACGGGATCGGTCTGGAGCTCCTGCGGCGACAGCTCTGAGCCCCGGCAACTCCCTTTCACTCCGAGGTCTCGCGCTCCCCTGCAAGACCCTGCCCTTCTCACCAACCGCTCCCTGCCTTGGAATCTCTCAGAGCGCTGTCCCATTGGCTGTGCCACCTGTCAGTCTACAGACTCTACGAATCGCCAAATTCAGCCAGCAGGGGGAGGAGAATCTGCAGATCCAGCCTCTTCGAGTTTAGCAAAGAGGATTTTCGAGGTGAGAACCCTATTTTGGAGGGGCGGGGTCAGGGGGTGACCCTGGTAATTTCCTGCCTAGATCTGCCCGTTTTCCTTGCACTCCTGGATCCACGTGTCCCAACAGTTTTTATCAGCAGATTCAGCAAGCAGAATACATATCTTCCAATTTTTTTTTCAAATCTCAAATCCCTCTCTCCTACACTTTTCATCTCTTCTTAGATTTAAAACTGTATTAAAAACAAAGTTTTCAACCAGGAAACACCCTCTTTTTCCTTACACAAATATATTTTCATCTGTACTTACTGCTTCTTTCTTCCTCCTGGTCACAATGGTGGTAATGCAACGACCCTTCTCTTGGCAAGGTTGGTCTCTCCATGAGTTTCAGATTCCACCTCCAAGCCTTCTCAGGAAGCCTGCATCATTACTCTTTCTTTTGGATCCTTGGCTTCTTGCCCTTCTGCAGAATTCTCCCCATCGATATAGAATCAGTGTCTCCCATCCTATGTGGCCCCTCCCCAGCTACCGTGCGCTCTCTTTGCTGTTCTACACAAAGTCCTATGAAATAGTTGGCTATCTACACAAACTGTCTCCACCTCCTCTTCTCTGACTCACTCTCAATGCCTTCCATCCCATGAGGTAAAAAATCTTAAGAATTTCCATCTCCAAGCTGGGATTGGGGGTTTAACTTGTAATCCCAGCTAATGAGGACACTGACCTGGACAACTAATTTAGCAAGCCCCTGCCTAAAGAGAATTTTTTTTCAAAGAGAGAGAGGAGAGAGAGAGAGAGAGAGAGAGAGAGAGAGAGAGAGAGAGAGAATTTTTTAATTTTTTTTTTTTTAGTTTTTGGCAGACACAACATCTTTGTTTGTATGTGGTGCAGAGGATCGAACCTGGGCCACATGCATGCCAGGCGATCACGCTACCACTTGAGCCACATCCCCAGTCCCAAGAGAAATTTTTAAAAAGCATTCAATGGTAGAGAACTTTCCAGCTATTGTGCAGATAATAATTCTAAGAAGATGACTGAAACACCATTCAGAACTCACATGGTGATATACCAAATCTGTAAAAGTGTTTGAGAAGAAAGGGTCGATAGACACCTCCCTTAAAGCATGTGTTATAGTAAAAACTAACATTTAGGAGGTAAGTGTATATAGGCTTGCATGCACATAAAGTTTTTAGAAGTATTAAGGTTAATTAGTAGTCCCAGAGGATTTATAGGCAGAACAAAACAAAGAAAAATATTCTTGTTATATAGAAAGATTGAGGATGGGACCACAAGACAAGAAAAAATGCATAAAAGACAAAAGATAAATGCTGGACAACAGTGAATAGCCATTGGTTGCTGTTGGCACAGGTCAGGGGCTTCTGGAGTTGCTATAAAGAATCATCTGATGCCAGGCATGGTGGCGCATGCCTGTAATGCCAGCAATTTGGGAGTTTGAGGCAGGAGGATATGGGAAATTTTGATAGTTAAAGGAAAAGCCATTAGAAATTTTGCCTGGACAGAGATTTTTCTGAGCAAACTAGGATATATGGTCATCCTTTTCCTCAATTTAAATACCAGAAAATGAATTACATATTTCCAAAAATGAATGTCACTCTTGAATAGGGTTTGAGCAATTTCTTTGCATGTTAATAAGCACCAAAAATATTAAATCAGTATTTGTCTCAACTATTACATTTCATATGTAGAATATAAAAGAATCAGAGAGCTGGGTGTGGTGGCAAATGCCTGTAATCCTAGTGAATTGGGAGGCTGAGGCAGGAGGATCTAAGTTTGAGACCAGCCTCAGTGACTTTGCAAGACCTTGTCTCAAATGTAACAATAAAAAGGGCTGGGAATGTGTCTCAGTGGTTAAGTGTCTCAGGTTTCAATTCCTGGAAACAAACAAACTAAACAAATCACAAAAAGCCCCAGCAACATAAATAAAGATCTCAGAACATGACCTATAAAAAAATTAATTGTCCTTATTATGTTCTCAGGAAGCACTATTTTTCCCCACAGTTCTTTGAGTCATTATTTCTTCTGGTTTCTGCTCTTCCTTCATCACCTTAAGGTGTTGAAAATCTAAGGCAGGTGATGAAAATACACACTTCATGGAGGCATCCCTTAGGAACATGCTTTCTAACCCTTGGTATGGAGTACAACAAATTTAATAGTGATCAGAAATGGGGAATCGCAGTATTTTTTAAAACATGGAAACTAACTGTTGGAATAAGCCATTATTTAACATGATGAAGTTTTGAGAAAACCCTATTACACATTCTGTAGAGATTACAGTAGAGAATAGGGGCCAGGGCAAACTTCCCAGTGCAACTGTCATGCACTGGGTTGGGGGTGTCATTTAGCATGAAAATGGAATTAGAATGAAGTTGAGGTTGCTTTGGGTCACTCTAGTATCCAGCTTAGATCCAGTTTTGGCCAGTCCACCTGAAGGGGAACTTCTGAATTTCAGAGCAGAAATTCAGTTATCTCAGTCCAAGATTAAGGTGGCCTAACACGTCAAATCAAAAGGCCTTCAGTATCTTTTCTATAGGACTATTTCCATGTTGAGACTATACATTTTGCCTTTGAGAACCTTTTTCCAGGTGTCATTGAGTCCTATCGTGCAAGTTTATCCCCTGGAAGGGAAATGACATAAAGCCTAAAGAAACAAAAGATCTCTAGAATGATGGGTCTGAGGCTGAGACAAACGAGAATAGAAACTTGGCCAGCATTACATATTGGTAGGAATGAATTTGAATTAGGACTTATAGTAATATATTGAGGATAACATAATGCTTAGATTTTACTATTATTGTGATATTACTACCTTCAGGAAATTCAGTTTATACAGATTTAGTAATAGAAGCATGTAAATGGCTGTCAGTGTTCTAGCTACCTATCCATTCTCTTGAATTAAGAATTAAGCAGTGACAAGTGAGTGTATAATTTCCCCAAAATTTGTGATCTCTTTCTCCCTACATCTTTCTCTCCATCTTTCCAAAGTTAATAGGACACATGATATTAGAGACACAGGAACATATATTCAGCAACTGTGGTAAATTCTTAAAAAGCTGGTGCCGAGAGTCTTTCCAGAGTTCAATAGAATAAAGCATCCTTCAACCCACGCAAGCAGGACTCAGTGTCAAGCTCACACGGCGCTGCTCCAGAAGACAATGCATGATCTCTGCATCTTGGATTCCTGTTCTAGCCAAATTTTGGCTGCAAACTGGGTCCCTTTTCCCTCCTGGAATCATGGAAACAATAAAAAGATCTAGTGCCAATTGAACACTGAAGGAATGTTTATTCTTGGCCAAGAATAGGAGAAGCGGGGAGAAAGTCTCAAATCAACTTCTCAGCCCTTCGGGAGCCAGGGAGTTATGGATGCAGGGGAAGAAGAAATGAGGGGGCGGGGGTTGTAGCTCA